AGAAATATGTGTGCACATTTGTACAGTTGTATATGCACATGTGTGTGGGTACATGAAGAAGCCAGAGGTCAATGTTGGGGTCTTCTTCAGCCTCTCTCTACCTTAGTTTTCAAGACAGATTCTCTCACTAAGTCTGGAGCTCACCAATTTGTTGAGACTGGCTGGCCAGCAGGCCCTAGGGATCCTCTTGTCTCCACTTCCCCATCCTGGGATTACAGGTGCATGCTGCTACACCCAGCTTTTACATGGGTACTGGGGATCCAAACTCAGATCCTTATGCTTGCACAGCAAGCACTTTGCCAACTGAGCTATGCCCTAGACCCCAAGATATTTAGATTCTCACTTTATATCCTTTTGCATGCTTGAATATTTAACTATGCCATTGACTTGTATGGCTTGATCTATGAGACAAGGATCCCCATCTCATTATGCAACAGAAGACACTGAACGGCCAAAGAGAAAACTAAAGAACTGAGTGCTTATGGGTTTTAATAACCAGACTTCACAAAAATAGAACCATACAGATGCTGATGGGCCAGATCTGAATGAAAAAACATTGCTCTGCTCCAGGAACCAGGTCAACGCCTACCCAGATGCTTCCTAATGCCAGCTACTTCCTTTAAGGAAACAGGGAGGGCTCAGAAAAGTTTTTCCCAACCTAAAGGCCACAACTGAGCTGATGAGATGGCTCAGCAGGTAAAGGCACTTTCCACCAAATCTAAGGATCTGAGTTCATTCACCAGAACCCATATGTTGAAAGGAAAGAGCCAACTCCCACATGTGTTCTGATGTCCTCTGACATCCACATGTGCTCTCATGCAGACACACACAATAAATAAATACATAATAAATAAATATAATAAACATAAATGAATAAATAAAGGCTATAACCATGACACTTCCAATGTCTCCTCTGATCTTATAAAAGAGAAATAACTATGGATACCATGACCTTGATGTGAACAAAGATGTCCTATATACTGTTCACTGAGAACTCTTTTATATATATACCAGTTCCAGAAGACCTAATGTCCTCTTCTGGCCTCTGCAGGCATTGCATGACACAGGTGCACTTACATACATGTAGACATAATACTCATACACATAAAATAAAAAGTCTGCAGACTGATTGACTTGATTGTGGAGAGTTAAAATGTTGTAGACCGAGAGTCAAAATTGTCTTTAGTCCTCTTAATAGCCATTTATCACCAGTTTCCTCTATCCATTCTTTCATCTTTTTAACCATCAGGTAAAACCTTTGGAATATGTTAACTCCTCAGACCTCTAGTTTCCAACAGTCCAAAAGCTGAGAATATTATAAGGTAACATCTGAATCCTATAAGCAGAGGCTTCCCCCATTTTAGATTGGAAAAAACTTTTCCAAGTCCTCCCTGTCTTCTCAAAGGAAGCATCTAGCATCAGGAAGCATCTGGGGCAGGTGTCGACCTGCCTCCTGGAGCAGAGCAGTCTTTCATTTGCTGTATTTACCCACCTGATATCCCCACCAACATACTTGGTAAATGCATTGATTAGTGCCTTTCTTTTGTTCTGTGACTATAAGTCTATTTCACAGTGGAACATGTCATCCAGGGCAAGCCAATTTCATATTCCTGAGTCACTGTCGCTCATATTTGACTCATAATAAACTAGCCCTTATTACCTGTGGAAGAAGAGCTGTACTTTATATCATACAACACTTGCAGAGCCTATCTGAGGGACTTGTCTTTCCCATCCCAGTGAGGCTGGGAGCCAGAAGGCTGTTTGGTCTAGGGAAGGATGAAAAGACCAAGTCACAAAATAGGAGTCTAACAGGGTATAGGAACCAGGGCTCAGCCTCCCTCCTTAGAGAAACTTGTAGCTCAGGGCCTTAGAGCTGGAGCTGGGGGTAAGATAAACAAGGGCCCACATCTTAATGTGGATCAATGTGAATCTCATCATGTAACAAATATTTCATTATTTTGATTCACCACACATGACTGCTCAACAAGAAGTCAAGGACTATGTTGGGAATGAACAGGTTCCAAACACATCTGTGAATAAGCCCTTCCTTCACCAAACCCACAGACCAAAGCTTTCCTGGAGGTCTTCCAGCCTAATCCATGGTCTCTTTAATGACAAACTAGATAGAACCAGTCTTTCTTGTAATTTTCTTTTCTCTGAAATAAGATGTCCTCTTAGAGAAAATGGGATGCAAGGATTTTCCTAGAATTTCACTGGCACAGTGTTCTTGGGACAAGGGCTAATCAAGAATTCATGATTCAGGACTATAGTAGACCAGAAATAAATATTTGGTTTTTGTCCCTGCTTGCTGGTAGAGTCCCTAAAATCTTCGAAATGCCTTGAGTAATGAATTTTTTGTTTGTTTGCTTGGTTTTGTTGTTGTTGTTGTTTTTGAGACAGGATCTCCCTGGAGCCCCAGCCAGGACTAGAACTCACCATGTAGACCAGGCTGGTCTCAGTTTCACATAGATCTGCCTGCCTCTGCTGGTACTAAAGGAGTGTGCTACCACACCTGGCATGTGATGAATATTTATGTATGCTAATGAGTTGACAGGTGGCTGAGGCCCCTAGGTAGCTTCAGGAACAGGATTTGATTAGATGGTTAGAACTTTCAGCGCCCCCCCCCCAAGGAGGGGACAACGCTAGGGATTGAATTCAAGTCCCCACAATGACTTAATCAATCATGCCTACTTAATGACATTCCCATAGAAACCCCTGAATGATAGAATTTAGAGAGCTTCTAGAGGAACATATGGAGGTGTTGGAAGGGTACTGTGTGACTTTTCCTGAGGAGACAGGAACAAACATCTATTTACCCCAGGGTCAGCAAGAAGGCTCAATGAATAGAGGAGTTTGTGCATGGGCCTAACCACCTGAGCTTGATCCCCAGATCTCACAAGGTGACAGGAGAGAATCAGTTCCCAAGAGTTGTCTTCTGACTTCCACACACATACAGTGGCAAATTCATGCCTTCATGCACATGCATATACACATATACACTCTAAAATAAATAAATAAATAAATAGATAAATAAAAGATCTATGTGCCCCAAATATGAAACCAATGATCAACCAAAGTAATGATTCTACCAAAGTCCAACTTAGTGAATCAATGAGTTTATTAGGATTACTTACAGGGACTTGTATGGCTCAAAAGTAGCTGTATCACACTGAAAATCCCACCCTGGGTATGTAACGATTCCTAAAAGTTGCCTCCCTAAAGCTCCCTGCATAGTTAACAGCATCTTGGCTAGTCAAAAAATCTCATCTCCCGGCAGTCCTTACTGCTTACCTATGTAACCCTGGAGAGGGACCTTATGAATCTGAGACTTGTGAGTTGTTTACTTCCTGAGTCTTGTGAGTTTGTTAACTTCCTGAGTCTTAATGAACCTTCCAGGATGGAATATTTCAAATCAGGGGAAGCTGCTACATAACTAAGGGCAGGAACCAGAAAAAGATGTGGAAGTTGCACCTCTGTCTCTGTACCTTGTGCTATACATCTCCTCCATTTGACGGTTTCTGAGTTGAATTTTTTATAGTAAAGTGGTAATAGTAAATAAAGTGGCTTTCTGAGCCCTGTGAGTCATTCTAGCAAATTATCATACTTGAAGGAGGCTGTGGGAACCCTCAACTTCAAAGCCATGTTGGATGGAAATATAGGTAACTTGGGGACCCAATACTTAAACAGTGGCTATCTGAAATGAAGGCAGTCTTAAAGAACTGAACCCTCAAATCAGGGGAGCCTGGGTTAAATTCAGACACTGTCAGAACTGAACTGAACTGATGAGCTTCTCTGGTGTCTACCAAGAAGCAGGCTTATGAGAGGTGCTCTGAATATGCTGTAACCTTTCTGCGTCAGTATTAAAACCATACATGAGTTGTCTAGGTCCAGTTTTCAGGAAAAACTAAACTGTTCTGTCCCTTTCCTTTGAGTCAACTCCCCAGATGCCTCAGTAGCTATATTCCCAGCCTCATTCCAGGCTCCTGTCATTCTTCATCTTCCACAATCCTTCCCAGGATAACCAGGTATGTCTGTCCCTCATTTCTATTTAATCCTGTAACCACGTTAGCCTTCTGGAGCAGGGGGGTGCTGTTCTACCTCTTCATCCTTTCTTCTAGAAATTTAGCTGTCTTTCCTTTTACCCAAAGCCAATAGCCCCTTCTTCCTAGTGATAAATCTCTTGGTTTTTACCGGGTTCAAACAAATAGGCAGCTTCAAATCACAACTGAAATCTCCTGTCTTTCTGAACAAGAAGTCTTGCCGTAGATAGATCTTGTCTAGTTGCAAGAAGTAGGTACCCATTCAAACTCACTTGAGTCAAAATGAGAAATTTATTTTAAGGTATCTGGTTACCCAGAAAATCAATAGTACAGTACCTGCCTCATATGTATAATGCCCTGGGATTAACCCCCAGCTTCATAAAACAGAAAAAACAAAATTAAAAAAAGACCTAAAAAGCAAGAGGGACCATCAAGTGGCAGTTGGACCACAGGACAAGGATCAACACTAAAGAACAGAGAAGTTTCCCCTGTTGGCTGCCACCTCCCAAATCTTCAGGACCAAATTACTTTTCAAGCATATCTCACTGAGTGTCACCTTCACTCTTCTTGCTACCCTGGCTTTCTCCACTTCTTGGCCCCCGTCATGTAAGACAGCGTCAGAAAAATCCAAAGATGGGCAATTCTGCAACTCAAGAAATATCAGTGGGCAAATATGACTAGAGAATTTTCATTCCAGAAATTTAAAGGCAACTTATTCCATGGTGTCCATCTAGGTTACAAATGGTGACTAAATGGCTATTTGTAATCAGAGGACTCCTCTATATAACAGCATAGTGCATGTGTTAAAGGAATAGGTTTTGGAGAAAGAAGATACTTTCCTGGAAGATAATCCCAGATTCCAAAGCAGCTATACTCTAGCACTTAAGTGCCCAAGACAACCTGTAGAAACAGTACAGTTTATAGCAAAGAGGGCATTGCAGAACCTATCCAGCTTCACAGTCATTGATCCTTAGTGGTTGGAGCAACTTCCATGAGCAGCTGGAGATGCACAGTGGCTGTCTGCAAACACTTGGGCTGGCACTGGAAGTAGAAAAGCAGGAAGTTACCAGGAAACCACTGAGCAGGAACAGAAGGATATACAGGAACTCCATCCTGGGATGGTCAATGATGGGTGCCAGCACCAGGAAGAGAGAAACCAGGAGCACGACAGCAGGGATGAGGGTGGGAACCTACAGAGGGCACAGAGTGGGTGTTTGACCCCTGAGTCTGGAATGATGGAGGGGTGTCCCTGAGCTCTGTCCTTCCTGCCTGCCTTCTAGTTGATCCCACCTGCCACTAGTGCTCCTCTTTCAGTCTTGCCAGGGAGAGACTTGGCCAGGGAGCCACCTGGGGTACAGGGTGCTCTTTAAGAGGCACAGACCTGCTTCTCTGTGCTATATGAACCCAAGTGTGAATATGCATCCTCCGCATTTGTGTCCCACCCTTCTCCCTCATGACCCTCCAGAGGAGAAAGGATTAACTCCCCAGCAAGCAGAGGTAATGAATGATTATGTTATCCCTTACTATCCCCAAGAAACATATGATGTTACATCAAATATGATAGTGGCAACCCCTTACGCTCTCTGCCTAGTTCTTGAATGAGACTGTGGCCCAAAGATCTGCTTCATAAGGAGCCTAGATTGAAAAATGCCCAATGATTATTCCAAAGACTACCTTGTAGCTTTTTGGAAGATCCTTTGTCTTTATCCGTAAATACAGGAGATAGCCAATGGTGGTTCCATAGGTGAGCCAGGAGAAGAAGCTGCAAGGAAAAGCCTAAATGAGGCCTTCTCTGATGGGCCCTGCCTAGATCAGGAGCAAACATTCAAAGAGAAGGAGGAGTGTTCCAGTTTCTCTACCAGGAGAGCCTTGGCAGGACCCAGTGGGTCACAAAGCAAAAACAACAAAACAAAAAGACATGAAAGTAGGATGGGAACTTGGTAGGAGGAAGGGGTGAGGTTGGTGGGGATGAGAAGAGGGTAAGACAGGTGAGCAATGAGTGTGACCAGAATGCATTACATACATGTATGAAATTGTTAAAGAATAACCACTTCTCAGCCTTTAGCTAAGATCAAGTTTGAAACTGTCAAAGAATAGCTAATTAAAAAATAAACTTAATAAAAAAGAGAGCCTGGTGGAATCAAGAAAGCTTGTGCTTATGGTAAGGACAGCCCACTAGAAGCAGAGGTTACCAACCTTCCTTTCCTAGTGGTTGGTGACATGACACATGGGCTGTTAACAATCCCAACGAGCTCCTCCCCCTGTCCTTCCCAGTGTCTGTAGCTGAATGGCTGCTGTCAGTCTGATAAAAATCTCATCTAAGGGCTGAGGATATAGCTCAGGTGGAAAAGTGCCTGCCACACAAACACAAGGACCTGAGTTTAATCCTCAGAACCCATGTGAAAAAGCCAGATGTGGTAGCAGGTGCAAGCACTTTTTTAGTGATGGGAGGCAAGGACAAGTGACTCTCTGGGGCTCACTGGCCAACCTAACCTACTTGGTGAGTTTCAGGCCACTGAGACCCTGTTTCAAAAGGGGAGTGGGAGTGACTCAGTATAGTGGCTCACGCCTGTAATCCCAGCACTTGGGAGGCAAATGCCAGAAGATCACCACAAGTTCTAGCCAACCTGCTCTGCATAGCAGGTTCCAGGCCATTCAAAGCTACATAGTGGGACCCTGTTTGTTTGTTTTTTATTTTATTTATTAATTTTATGTTATGTATATGAGTGTATTGCCTGCCTGTATGTGAGTGCACCCATGTTGTGTAATGCCGCAGAGGTCAGAAGAGGGCTTTGGATTCCCCTGGAACTGTAGTTAAGGATTGTTCATAGCCACCATGTGGGTGCTGAGAATTGAACCCAGATCCTCTGCAAGAGCAGTCAGTGCTCTTAACCACTGAGCCATCTCTCCAGCCCCTTGTTTGTTTTTTAAGTGGAAAGCATCCAAGGACTGACAACCAGAGATTGATCCCCTGACTACTACATATACCCACACATATACAGGTACCTATACACACCTGAACACATATACAAATTCTATATAATCCAGGAGGCAAGGTCCAAACCAAGCCATAAGCCATCTCTTGAACACCAGCAAGTATTAGGTCCTGATTGGGATGGAGCACCCAAGGTTTCTCATTCTGTGCTGAGACATTCTCAGTTACATTCCCTAGTCTCCATCTGAAGACATCCCCCATGCCACAATAGACTAGATCTTATTCTCACTGTATGATGATTTCATTCATTCTCATGGGAAAAAGACAAAGGGAAAAAACATCTGCTACTTATGGTTCTTAAGAGTCACACCAAGTACTGAATGTTCTGTTTGTCTCAGATTAATTAGACAACAAGGGAAGGGAACATGTAATGCCTGAGAAATTACAAGAACTCCCCTGCACCCAGACATTATGCTCACCTGCTAGTTAAAGGATACACCTATCAACCGGACTTCAAATGAGCTTAGAAAATTACAAATGGATGTCATAACAGCCCATAATTTCCATCTTGAGGAGAGTGTTAAAAGGGGGTCAGAACATTGTCTTCCTTTGGTACAGTCATTCATTGTGCCTAACCAGGTTGGTCCTGGTCTACAATCAATTCTTGTGGAATTATGTTAGACCAGAATTCCAGAATGCAGGCCCAAACTACAAGGGGAAAATTATACCATGTCCAAGGACTCCACAGCATTAATAACGCCTAAATGTCCTTTAATATTATCTTAACAGCAGAATAAAGGAATAAGAAACAAAGACAAAGACAGCATAAGCCTTAGGGTATCTCTTGTTGAAGCATCTGTCTTATTGAATTTGGGAGAACAAAGAAAGGGAGAAGAGAGCCTCAGGTAATGTAAGAAATACAACAGAGAAAATGGATGAAATGTAAGTATAGATGTGAGGACCCTGAGCCTGGGCTTTCAGAGTTGTGCGCGCACACACATATGTGTGTGTACAGACAGACAGATATGAATTGAATGTAAAATGCCCCCTACACACAAGCTCATGTCTTTGAACAGCTAGTGGTGCTATTTTGGGAGAGGATGGAGCCTTTAGAGTAGAGGCTCAATGCAAGAAATTAGTTTCTTGGTGGGTGGGCCTTGAGATTTACAATCTTACCCAGCTTCCTGTCCTCTCTCTGCTTCCTGATCCACTGAGATGTGAGCAAACTGCTATACACCCCTGCTTCCAATTGTCTCCACCACCATGCCTTTCCTGTCATGCCTTGTATGTGTCTAAATAAGTCCTCCCTCTCTTAAGTTGTCTCTTGTCAAGTATTTGGTTGCTGTGATGAGAAAAGTAACTGATACACATGTAAGCGTGTGGTGTATGTGCGTGTCTGTGCATCTGTGTGTATGCTCCAGAACAGCACACATGCATTTATATATATATATATATATATATGTGCATTCATATGTGTGTGCGTATGTACATATAGAAGTATATAAATACATAGATATCTAGGACACAAATATCAGCTTGGGAAAAGTCTCGTTTACCTCACGAAGTTCACAATGGTGCTGAACTCTCCTGGTATGATCAAGGCCAAAGCCATGGCTGTGATAAACATCAGGGCTGGAGCTGGTGTAAGGTGATGCATGTGAACCACGGATATAAGTTGGGGCTAGAAAGTATAGTTGTGTCAGAGAGGCTATAGAAAAAACAAACTAAGCATTCTCTCCCCTGTCAAACATGTTCTGGACACCAGTGTGTCCAACCTAACAGTCATCAGGACCATGGCTTCCAGAGGGTAGGCCTCTGTAGTTTCCTTGGGTTATTGTGATAGACTGGATGATTGCCCTCCAAATATTCAGTCTCCCTCTCTCTACTGCTGAGGCAGGAACATAGTTTCTCAAACATGGATGTGGACTGGGCTGTGACACTTGCTTCATCTAATAAAACGTGAGCAAGAGTGACAAGCAAAGGTTCTAAATGTGCTGGCAAAGTTTAATTTGGTCTCTTGAACCCCTGACTCCTACATTGGGCAAAAACCTGCCTCAGGAGCCACTGCTGCTTTGTTCTGGGTTCCTGTAATAGGAACAGAATCAGACTAGAATAAAAAAGATCAAAATAAACAAGGCCTTAGCTAACACAAAGAACAGTAACTAAATATTGCAAGCTGCTGAGATTTGGGGTTATCTGTTATTCAATATTATTATTACAGTAAAAGTTCACATATGGGCAAAGAGTCTCTGAGGAAGAAGGACATTGTGTGTGCTGTGGTCCTACTCCCTATGGCCTCTGCACTCTTGCTAGACACAAATATTCTTACCACCCACACCACCGATCCCACTCAACCCAGTCCTATGATTGCCCTGAAATCTGGATGTAAAAAGATTAGAGTGAAAGCTGAAAGTACAGAATTCTTATGTCCCATTCTCAGAAGAAAAGAGGGCCACATCTTATTGGTGAAGTCCAGACTTGGGCTAAATGATAGGCTCAAGCAGTAGAACTCATAGCTGATGGGCCATCTACTGCCCTCTTGCAGCACCCACCACCCTGCCTGTCCCATACCTCATCTCTCCCCATGTGGCCCTCTCTTGCAGCCGCATAGCACATACGGCTGCCACCAAAGAACGACCCATTGACAGTACCAAACATTGAAAGTGCAGCAGCCAAGGGTACCAGCCAGGCCCAGGACCCCAGAACTTGGTTCCTAGGACAATAGAGGGATCAAGGGAAAGAACTCTGGCACAGAACCTGGAAAAGGACCACAAGGTCCCACTTGGAAATAGAACAAACAATGCATTTAAAGGCAAGCTCAGCTTCACTTAAAATACCATCCTTCCCCATCCCAGAATATTCATCTGGTGTTCAAGGGATACACCACATGACTCACTCACCCCCAGCTCACAGCTATGGCATCAGATGAGAAAGTCTCACTGGGTGACAGCAGCAGTAAGTAGCTAATGTTGACCAGGACATACAAGATGGTGACCAGGGGGATGGCAATCATCAATGCCCACACCAGATTCTGCTGCAGGGTCCAGAAGAAGAGGGTATGTGTTAGCCAACAAGGTCTTTCCATGCCTCCAGAATAAGCTCAACACTGTGACAGCCACAGAGCACTACACCAGACACTGAGGGATGGAAGCCTGTGCTCCTCCTCCACGAGATCATGATCCCTGTGGCATGGGCATACAATCAGGAGGTGGACTGGGAGGTATCGTGAGGCACTAGATAAAGTCAGAACAGTAGCAGTACAGAAGGGATGATGGAGCCATCATCAGAGCTTCCAGGGTAAAAAGGACTTTCACCTGGGCTCTTTTAAAAAAAAATGGAAGAGATTCAGGAAGGTGAGAAGGAAAAGACTTCCTTGCAGAGGAAACCAGGAGAAAAGAGCAGGAAAGTGAAAAGCTCTCACTAGTCTGTTCTTCAGTAGGTAGGACTTGCCCCTCATGGAAGCTTTTACTTCTGATTAGCATAGCTTCTCTTCAGTCTTAAAGAAAGAGCAATTTCTAGACTTTCTGCCAGGGCTGAGGTCTGCCTGTGGAAATCCCTGAAGGTGGGGATGGGACAGTAAGAAAGGAATACTGAAAAAGAGGTGGTTATCTCTGGAGCTATCTCATATCCTCTAGCTCATGTCCTTGCAGTCATGTCAGCCTCAGTGATGACTGTCCGGGCTCTCCCTAGTGTATTCTTGGGACATTGGCAGGCCCTGTCCTTTCTGGCCTCTAAGTTCATGTTCATATTGCTTCTACAGAGCTGTGGCTGAGCTCCAGTCTCCTTTTCTAGGAAGCATCGTGGGGCTGTTCTGCCTTGTTGGTCACCCTCCCTAGCAGGCCAATATAGTAAACCAGTGAAAATAAAGTGAATAAGGCAGCAACCAACCTTGCAGACCTTGCAGGAGGTGAGTCCTCTCAGGTCCCTTTCAGCTGAGAGACTTGCTGGCATGAGGCTACCTGTAGCCAAAGTGCCCCAGGGCTCTCCCTCCCTCAGGCCTCACTGTGAGATGCCTCCAGCACAGTGAACAACCAGGCATGCATAACCTATCCCCACACATAGTCAGGGGCAAGGATCCTGGTGTACTTCTGAATTTGACCTTTCCCTAAGCAACCTTCCACAAGTAATGAGCTGTGACAGTGGTAAAGCTCTGAGTTATATCATGGATTTCTGGTCAAGATACTACAAGAACAGTGAGATTTCCTGATTTCACTCTTAGGGTCCTTAATTCTTCACTCAAATCCCAAGAAGTCTGGGCATAAAGTTGACCCTGGTTTGACAAGTTTTTGTAGTTTCTTTGGCAGGGGTTAGGGGGAATATGAAATAAAGATACCCCTAATCCATCTTTTAGAGCCAATTTAGGATAGACTCTTAAATGCTGGCATTCAGAAGACTTGCATATGTTTTGTTTTGAAACCTACATTCATCAAAACTGCTGGCTCTAGTAGAGATGAGCAAACAATAACTATGGATCAACTCTAGCCTGTGGACTGATTTTATCAATAAAGTTTTATTGGCACCTAACCATGTTCCTTTGTTTTCTTGTGGCAGCATTATGCTGCCATAACAGAACTGAGTAATTGTGACAGGTACTAATGGACCACAGAGCTTAAAATCTTAGCTCTTGGATTTTTCTAGAAAAGCTTTGCTGATCTCTACTGCAAGCATGAGAGCTTATCTCATTCAACTTTAGGGTCCCTGCTGTTTTATTGGCCTAACTGTGAGTCCCAGGTCTAAACTGAGAAAGGTACTTTATTGCTGTGAATCAAAGGCATCTCCAGCATATCTTCCAGGCCACCTACAGGCACAATATCCATTCCCTTGAGAGTTGCCAAGAGTATACCATTGAAACTCCAGAGGAAGGTGGGGCAGTTATTATGATGGTCCCATTTTACAGGCAAAGAACTAGGAACAAAAAGTTACATATTCCCTGAAAAAAAACTCACAAAAAACCCCCAAAACAAAACAGCGGGGCTGGTAGAGAATACCTGTAATCCCGTTATTTGGGAGATGGGAACAGGAGGATCAGAGGTTCAAGGCCATTCTCAGCTATAACCTGGGCTACATTGAGACTGTCTCAAAGAAGAAAAATAAAAAATAAATAAAAATACTGATCTGATCCCCCCCCCCCCACCGCCGCCTTCTGTCTCCTCTTGGACTTCAGTCTCCAAGCTGCTGTTCTTCTCCCAAACTGCCCTCCAGGGAGCCTTTGCCAAGACTCTGAAAGCTGAACTGACCCTAAGCCAGCCCAGTGGGGACAGAGGAAAAGTCTTGCAGTTCCCATGCTGGAAGAATTTTAAACTCCTGCAGGGTAAAAGAAAACAAAAAATAAAACAAATAACATCCTAGAAAATACATTTATAGCCAAGAGTCAATATTTGTAGATGCTAATAACCAAAGATCCAGATACCCAAACTGAGTCTCAAGCAACCCTGCAGACCTGCTAGCACCATGATTAGTCAAGCCAGGCCTCAGGTAGGATGAACAGGCTTGTTCCCCACCCCAAAGTAAGCTGTGTCCTCAAGTGTGTTTCCAGGCTTCAGCAACTACAAAGTATCTACTGCAATGCTCTGGAAGGAACAATCCAGGAAACAGCAAGCAGAATCATCAGGCATGGTCTCTGCCTAGCAGTATGAATTCAGAGTAATTCCCCTTCTGCAAATTTCAGTTTTCCCATGTAAAAAATGAGTGTCAGTGCCTATCTCATAAGGCAAGAAGATGAAACTATAGGGTATGACACCATGAAGTTCTCTGCTTTCTTGAGGTCATGATTAAAATCCCACACACTGATCAGGGCAGACAGTGGACTGGCAAGTCCATGAGTGAAGGAAGGGAGCCCCTGGTTCCAGTTGGACTACTCAGGATATCAGTCACCCAAATGTGAATAGCTGGAACACCACACACCAATGCTGCTAATGTTCAGAGATTCACCCCCCAGAGCAGCATAGTCAACTCACCTTTTGATTCTTGAGCTCCTCTATCACAATATTGAGGCTATTCCAACCATCAAAGGACCACAGCTCCTGGTAGAATGCCATACCGATGTGCCCTGCCTGCTCTGTCATGTTGTAGAAGGTAAACAGCAGGGCTTCTGTGCAATGCCGGCCCTGGCCCAGCACCACAGCCCCACCTACCACAATGACCAACAAGAACACTTTGGCAGCTGTGCACACATTCATCAGCATAGTTGACATCTGTGAGCTCCAGAAACTGACCAGCATCAGCAGCAGGATACACAAAGCAGCTGCATTCTTAACTACAACTTGTGGGAGTGAGGAGCAGCCAGGGCAAAAGGGAGCCAGTGCATACTCAGAAAAGCTGAGAGAGACAGCAGGGATGGCAGCAGGTCTGCCCACCAACACAAATGTGTAGATGACTAAGAAGGCAGGCAAAGGGCCAAAAGTTCGCAAAAATGTAGGCATACTCTCCCCCAGATTCAGGAACCAAGGCACCCAGTTCAGCATAACGCGAGGCACCCAGCATGGCCAGGAGGCCACAGACTGCCCAGACAATAAGACTGGCTCCAGGACTACCAATGTAAACCAAGAACCCCTGTGGTGACATGAACTGATCATATAGCCAGTGGTCATGGATATGGCACTCCACAGATGGAGCTCCCTCCTCAGCGTCAGCTCTGATGCCCCACTGCCCTGCTCTTGCCCTGCTGCCCTGCAGACACTGTCTCTGGTTGGTGACGGGCAGAGGCTCTGGTACCTATTGTCTGTGGGCTTCCAGAAGATGTTAATGATAACTGTGCTGGAGGGTATCCAACCAAGCCAGAGGGCAAAGACCCAGGGTGTGGTCTAGAAGGAGCTGTATCAAGTGAGTACCTGTCCAGCTTAGACCTATGTACAGGCAGTCCTTAGGCCAGCATAATTCAGGAAAGGTCAGAAGAGAAAGGGCTCAAGGAAATCTCTGCTGATAGCTGGGGTGTGGCCCAGGGATAGCGATCTTACCTAGCGTATGCAAGGCCCTGAATTCCACCTCCAATACTGTAAAGAAAAGGAAGGGAAAGAGAGGGGCAGGAAGTAGAGGGGAAGGGAGGGGAGGGGAGGGAGGAAAGAGGAATTTCTGTTGCCCAGTTCCACAGCAACATGTAGGGATGGCTGGATGAGTGTTCTGTGCCAGCAGGAGACCCAAGCGGCTGCACATGAGGAACCTTGAGACATCTTTATAACAGTTTCTCAGTCAGTCTGCCAGGAAATGAGGATTCCAATTTTTTTTTTTTTTTTTTTTTTTTTTTTTTTTTTTTTAACAAGGTCTCCCTGTAGCCCCAGCTGTCCTGGAACTCACTATGTAGACCAGGCCAACCTTGAACTCAAAGAGATCTGCCTGCCTCTCCCTCCCAAGTGCTAGCACTAAAGAGGCATGTGTCACCATGCCCGGCTCCAAAACAGACAATCTTCATGCAAACTGCATGAACCCTACTCTAAAGAAGCCTAGGAAGATCAGCAAAGGAGAGGCAGGATGGAGCTTACTCCTCAGCAAGAAGGAAGGAAGTGGCCAAGAGTGCCAGTTCTCCATGTGATAAGAAAGTGGAAGGGAGAAGAGTAAGGGCAGAGGAGCACAGTGGGGGTAGGGGCCGGGGCGATGGGGAGAGGAAATGGGGAGCCAGTCAATCAAACTATTATGAAAATAAAAGAAGTAAACCTGTCACTTTGCTAACTAAAAAATAAATTTGAAAACAAAATTAGAAAAGCATACAGTTCTAGAGTGAGACTGCTGATTTCTAATCCCAGCTCCCTGGCTTCAAGCTGTGTGACCTTGAACAAGATCTCTGAACTTCATGTTGCTCACCAATCAATTAATAATGCCCATTTATATGGAGTTGCTTGAAGACTTAACTAGCAATCTGAAGTAATTAGAATGGTGTATGATGCACAGCAAATTTCCATCAGTGTAGTCACTTCTATTACTCTCCGGCTAAAGGTCATTAGTTCACTGGAGAAGAAAGGGATTGGTATTAATACCAGGAAGATGAAAGACTAGAGGGATATGTGTGTATGGAATAATATTATGTATTTAACTTAATACTAAATTTTATTGAGCTATAAAGACTGTTCATTCTAGGATGCAGTGTGTAGTGTTTTTATTGATCATCTCTTCCCAGCTGGCCTGGAACTTGCTATGTAGACCAGGCTGGCCTCAAACTCACAAAGATCTGCCTGCCTCTGCTTCCCAAGTGCTGGGATTAAAGGCGTATACCACCACATCCAGCTAAAATAAATAAACTTTTTAAAGTTAAAAAAAATCTCATTAATTAAGCCAGGCATGGTGGCACATGCCTTTAAACCCAGCATGAGGGAGGCAGAGGTAGGCGGATCTCTGTGAGTTCAAGGCCAGCCTGGTCTACATAGTGAGTTCTAAGCCAGCTAGGACTACAGGGAGACCCTAGCTCAAAAAAAAGAAAAAGACCAAAAATCTTACTGAAAATTTCAAATGCATGAGTTGCATGAGTTGTATGCAGTCTCCTAGGCACAGATCCTTGGGAAATGTGGACCCATCTTCTTCAGAACTGAAAAGGGGGCCCTCCAGGAGAGAGACACACAGGCTGATAGGGAGAAGTAGATAGAAGAATTAGAGGGAAAAGAGGAGGAGGAAAAGGAGGAGGGGGGAGGGATGGCTGGAGGGAGGGAGAGGGAAAGGGAGAGGGAGGGAGAGGGAGAGGGAGAGAGAGAGAGAGAGAGAGAGAGAAACCGAGGAGGCTTGGGGAATATTTTTCCTGACAGATTTAACCTACAATTATTTAACTAAGACGCTGAAACATCAACCCTCTCCTTCTGCAGGGACACTAGGCTGTCTTGGGAGTGACATTTATTACCTCAGCCTAGCATGAGAAAACAGTGTGAGCCAACTAAGCCAACTTCGTCCATTTTGTTTGGAAAATTGTACTTTGTTATTTCTACATGATGAATGTCTTTTGGGCAATGCCTCAATATCCCTAGATGAAGCATAAATTTGTTAGTCATAAACATTAGCCAAAAAGAAAATTCACTTTATTGGAAAAAATAAATTATTTTAAACTGTTGCCATGGTCTTATGTTTTCCCATAGCCTTACTACAAACACTGCAGCAGGAAGCACAGCAACATTAATATCATGAAGAGGATCACTAAACCTCTAGTACCAAGAACCGGAGTGGGTTCAGTAAGGTGAACAGGATCAGAGGCATCTCCAGGAGCAGGAGCAAGAGCAGGAGGAGCAGGAGCAGGAGCAGGAGCATGTACAGGAGCAGGCTCAGCAGCAGTATTTGGTGTATTCTCCCTGGGGTCAGTATGAAGGCCAACAGCAGGTTACGGTGAGGCCAGAACTGTGAACAGGAATTCTATGCCAGAAAGAGGTAAAGGGAGAGTCTTGCTCCTTTTCTTCAACCTAGTAAAAATTTGAGGTGTTAGTTTCCATTAAAATTTTTTTCTATTTTTATCATTTGTGTGTTAGCTTCATTATCTTGATTTTAGTTCACATTGTTCACATAATATTTGTATGCTCAGTTTTATGTTAGCACTATGGGACACTGACAATTTAAAGATTCTACTTCATTTCTGCTTGAGAAAATGACCAGAGTTTTCAGAACTCCAAAAAAGAGCCAGCTTCATTTTATGCCCTACGTTTTCTGGCTCGTTGAGGACAGGACAGGATATGTCCTCTCTTGTCCTTATGACCTAGATGTTACATCAAACAGTCAGATTCAGAGACTGTAACATTGTGGGGCTCCAGGAACTAAAGGAACATCTCCCTTTCTGTACTATGTCATGCTTGTCACCATCACTTTTAAAATTCTACAATCTACTGGGCTCCTAGGATATCAAAAAAGTGAAGGTGGCCTTTGAAATGCATGAACAAAGTGGCCGCTGCAGAAGGAGCCGGGTGAGGCTGCTGAGTTGCAGGGATGGACTCTGGAGATGCCGTCTCAATTGCACACTCCTTAACCATGAAATTTTACATCTGGAGGATGTGTAAGCAATTGCCTGCTCCCACCACCATCCTCTAGTCTCAGCAGGAGTAACATCAACAGGGCTTGAGCAATTCATTCAAAGCTCTGAAGAGACATTGCCCAGTAGATGTTATCACCAAAGACATGATACAATTCCACAGTGCTGCTCAGATAAATTACAGAATATACCCATCAAATTAATCAGATACAATAAAGAAATGTGAATCTTACAAGCTAATTTAATGCCTGCTTGGTAGATGGGAAGCTTCATGTACTTTTATAATAGGAAATATTTCTAGGTTGTCATTCTTTGCAACTCACAGTATCTTGTAACTTAGCAGTGTACGTTGGAGTCCATTACAAAATTTGCTGGTCACATATGCTACTATGTGAAAAAACAGCTACATTCTAAAACCTATGAAACATCATAATACAAAGAGGTGAATAAAATATTTAAGAAGTATTGCTGACAGGAAAATGTTCAAATATATATACAAAAAAATTTAAAGAGCCACTGTAGGAATTTTCAGTTTGGTGATTTGACAGAAAAAAGGTGAACTTGAACCCATGTAAGTGCAATGAACAATGAGTTTGCATAGGGGTGGATGTCAACCCTAGATACATTTCCATACGTCTTGTCCCTCATGACTTCCTCCCCATTAAGTGTGTTTAAGCTAATTATAAAAGGCCACATGGTACAGGGCTAAGTTAATTTCCCAGGATACATGACATGTACAAAAAATGAAGATGGCTGATAAACAATTTACATAATAGGAGTAAGTCACATCTAGACATAGAATACTTAAGAAAACACACCCTTTTATATGCGAGTTGAGAAATGTATTAATCATCATGTGTGATGTGTGAGTGCAGGTGTACATGCTCAATGGTGTGGTGTGAAGGTGGCTTTTTCCTTCAAAAAAAGACAGAGATGGAAACGGGCTCTACTTTTAAAAGAAATCTGGAGGGCTAGAGAAATGGCTCAGCAGTTAAGAGCACATACTACTCTCCCAGAGGACCAGCATCAGATGGCTCACAAGCTCCTGAACTCCAGGGAGTGCTTTTGGCCTCCATGGGCACTGTACTCACATGCTCATACCCACATACAGATACACATAATTAAAAATTAAATCTTTTTGTTTTAAGTATGGTGTAGTGGCACAGGCCTATAATCCCAGAGGCAGAGAGATCTCTATGAGTTTGAGTCCAGGTCTGGTCTACATGGAGACTTCTAGACCATTTAGGGCTACATAGTGAGATCCTGTCTCCAAAAAAAAAAGAGGAGACTGAACTTGTGGCAAGTTGACACAGTGACAATATGCAACGTACGGATTAACTTTTTTGCAGAGGAGTAAAGCTGCAACCCAGGGCCCTGTGCATGCTAGGCAAGTGTCCTTCCACTGCACTGCAGTGCACTGCAGCCCCTAGTCATCAACTGTTCACCTCAGTGAGAAATCTTGACTCCTTGGACATGGGTTAATATTCTTTTTTTGTTTTGTCTTTTTGAGACAAGGTCTACCTGCAGCCCCAGCTGTCCTGGAACTCACTACGTAGATCAGGCTGGCCTCGAACTCACGAAGATCTGAATGGCTAAGCCTCCCAAATTCTGAGATTAAAGGAGTGCACCAACACGACTTATTTTGAATTATCCTTTGAGTCTCTGCATCCGTGTGTACGTGCACGAGTGCAGGAGCCTATGGCATTCAAAGGCATGAGTTTTCCCGGATGTAGCGCAACAGGTGGCTGTGAGGTGCCTGATGGGGTGCTGGAAAGTGAACTCAAGTCCTCTGGAAGAACATCACGCGTGGGCTCAACTGCTGAACCGCCTTTCTGGCCCCGTGTGTGGTTTTTTTCTCTTCGTTATTGGTTCAGAATGAAAAAACAAACAAACAAAGAACAGCCCTGTTCTTCATTACTGTTAGGTCTACAACCATATATTTATCAATACACACACGTAACACGCTGATTAGTCTATTTAGTGGTGCACATGCATACTTGTGTTTAGGGCTTCCAATTTGGGATTAATTAGAAAGCCACGAAAAGCGTTAGTCCCTGAACACTCTGATTCTTCCTACCCTAAATTCTTTGGCATATAGAAAACAATGGTATTTCGGTTTGGTACATTTGGGAATGTGCCTAATATCACATCTCTGGTGAGTAGTGTTCTGGTTTGTAGTATAATAATTTTCATCTCAAACTTGTCGAGTCCTATCACGTCAACTATAATTACTCACAGCCCTTATTATTATTATGATTATTAATTAGTTTCATCATTACGAAAACTCTCCCTATTTGTATTAAAGATTGTCACTTTCTACTTCTCTTCCTATCTTAATGTATCTTCCCTTATGCCTAAGAAGACAACCAGCCAGTGGGGGCAGAAATGATGGTTCAGGAATTAATAGCACTGGCTGCTCTAGCAGAGGACCTGGGCTCACTTCCCAGCACGCACGTGGTGGCTGAAAACCATCTATAACTCCAGGTCCAGCAGATCTGAACCCCTCTTTTGACATAGGCGGACATTTCACGCATGACTGCACTTACATACCTGCAGGAAAAAAACACTCACCGAAAACAAATCTTGAAAGTGAAAGTAAAATTAACAAAGTATTTCAGTATCAGGTAGCCGGCATGGCTATTTCTGGAACTAAGAAAAATAAAAACAAACAAAACAAACAAACAAAAAACAACAACAACCAGGACATCTCTGGGTGGGTTTGCTTTCTTTGAAGTGCTACACACACGGGCCCTCCAGATGCATCTTTCCCTCATAAGCAAACACATGACTTTTCTTATTAATGGCAATTACCTTTGAGAACATTTTCACTTGATATATCGACATCAGGGAGGGGCTGCGTAGGACCAAGGATGTCATCGCAATATTCGATGTCTTTCCGAAAGAGAGGATCGAACTCTGTGAGGAGTTCCTTCAAGCGTGGGGCCGTTAACGCTCGCCGGTTCTGCACTGGGGCGGGGG